GTGTTTTGCTAAAGCACATTGCCGGTGCGCGGCAGAGGCAGCGGCTGCGGTGGGGCAGAGGGTGAGGCCAGCCGAGCAGCAGACCCCAAGCTCGGGCTCTGTTTTGCAGACAGAAAATAGTCTGCAGGAATTTCCTAGTTAAGAAAAAACCAATTAACGGCAATAGTTTTGAATAAATGCCAGGTCTGGGGTTAGGGATAGAAGGTCGCGTATCACATACCTTCTTATGTTCCTGGAGTAACCCAGATGATAAATCAGGGCATTTCTAACCCTTAGAATGAAAATCGCTGCTTTCCCCAAATTCACCCAAGTAGAGCCAAGAGCTCAAACTCTGACCCTTCAGTTCAATATTCTCAATAGATTTTCAAATCTGCAGCCATAAAGGGCCATCATGGGAGGCTGCAGAAATTAGTTTAGCTTAGTTTTCCCTTAATTAAAGATGGGGAAAACACTTAATTAAGCTCTAATATCTTATTAGTGAAATGTATTTGTCTCTTTAATGAGCTAATTATGTGTTTTCAAGGGCCCTGAGGCCCTGCATTGTTTGCAAATATGCTTTGGCTCTGGTTTCTTCCATTGGGCAACACTGACCGTCCTGCCAGGCGTGACCTGCCAGGTGTGCCATCGCCTCGCTGCCGCTGCCCCGGCGCGATGGAGGCAGCAGGTACGGATCTCCCGGGATGCACAATGGGCACCAGCCCCGTTCTTCCCCGCTGTGAGGTGGTTTTACATCTGCACTTTGTTCTTTACCCCCCACAGCTCTCGTCATGCCTGTATCCTGGCTGCTGGCACCTCCTTTGTGCCCCTTGGAGGTGACACACATTTTCTGTACCGATGCTCTGGGCTGTAGCTGAGGTTCACAAGGTTTGCCCAGTTCAGCCGTTGGGCTCGTCTGGTGGTTGCTGGGACAAGTGACACCCGTGAGGACAGGCTTAACGTGATGTCAGAGTTAAATTCAAACAGTTGCCTGTTTCTGCATCATGGTGTAGGTCCACCCACATGTGAGGACAGGCGCGGATGCCACCGGGGTGATACCAGAACCTGGCAGCTTTACAGCGTTCAAAAACCAGCATGTCCTAAAAGAATAATAAGGGATGAAATCAGGATTGTTTTTCTGCGTTCTGACAATGCGACCATTGCCGGGATGGCCTTGGCACCTCGTGCCCAGCGCAGGGTCCCCCGGGACCGCGAGCGCCCCGGCCACCGTCCGACCCGCTGGGGGTTGGATGTCGGAGCGGCTGGAGCCTCTTGTCAGCCTCGCTGGCAGCTCCGCGTGATGGACTGCGCGCTGCTTGTTTAGGTTTTGTTTCCAGCCACGACATTCGACCAAATTATTCTCCGCCAAGGGCTTTAAAGTTTCCCAAGTGCCTGTGAAAGCCTGGAAACGCTGATAGTGATCCTATTTCTCAGCTGAGTGACTGCATTCAGCCCGAGCCATATTGATATGCAAAACGTTAAGGGTCCCGGCTCTAAAGATGGTTTCTGTCTGCCCTGTGAAAGGGAGCCATACTTTTTTAAAGCCCGGACCTTTCTAAAGCCGCACAATACCATATAGACTATGCCATTTAAAGCATCTGAAGCGACCCAAAATGTATTGAAAGCTTGCTTTGCAGACTCATTAAGACTACTCAATAGGTTCTGGCAAATACCGTGCCAGGGCTGACCGCACGGATTAAGACTTTTGAAGTGTTACACAAACCCCCTGCTTAAACTAATTGCTGCCCTGCAGCTCATGAGGTCAAGTATTTGTATTCATTGCCTCCGAGAGGAGCCACTTATGGATCTGTCCAGGTGAAGTCTGCACTTCATTAGATCAAGACAATAAAAGCGGCTTTGGGTAGGGGGAAGGTGCTCAGGATGAAGGCTCCAGCTCCAAACCCAAGCCCAGGGGTGACATCCACCACAGCAGCGTTTCTGGGGTAGTTTTCGTTGCTGTCCCGCGGCGTGGTCCACCCACCATGGTGAGGGTCTCGGCAGGAGAGGCGAGTTGGTGTGTGAGGGGTGGATGGGGCATGGGAAGGGTGGGCATCGCTCGAGCAGCGGTAGCTGGGCAGGTTCCCATCGCGTGCCGGTGCAACACGTGTTTCTTGTGTCTACCCAGAGGAGAAATCACTTTTGCCATCACTGCATTGCCAGACTAATTAAAAAAAAGGAGAATCAGCCGCTGATTTACTGAAGGTGTCAGCCAGCACCTTGACGGACGCATGACACAGCTCTTGTGCCGTCTCACCGGGAGCTGGGGGCTACTGAGAAAACAAAATTTTGCCTTTTTCATGTAGGTGCTTTGGTGGAGCTTATTTGGGAGCCCTTTCCCTGTGAAGAGGCTCTTAGGGAAATCTAAGCTGGAACCCCCTTTTTGGCTTTTGTAATCACTGATCCTAGCCTGTGGGACCTGGCTGGGCTTTGGCAGGAGCTGGGGGGGTTCTCACCAGGCAGGACCCATCAGAGGACGAGGGCAAGATCCCCCCTGCCCCGTGCTGCCAGAGCTGCAGAAATGCCTTTGGGCTAAATGGAGGGAATGGCAGAGCAAGAGGGCGATGGAGATCCAGCTTTGCTGCCAAGTGTGAAATGAAGTTTTCATCCCCGTCTCAGTTAACCAAAGTTTCCATTTCTAACCCCGTTTTTGTTACGAAAATCCAGCTATCCAAAGTGCTGTGGTTCTTGTGCTCTGGGCCTCCCCTTCCATCCCAACCGCTCCATAAGCCAGGAAGGGCTGGGCTGCAAAAGCTTTCCAAAACTTCTATTTACTCCTTTTTCTTTTATGCCAAATTTAGGAGGACAGAAGGGAAAGAACAAAAATGGGGGGAAATAAAAAAAGCTGCAAAAGGAAGAAATTAAAACTTCTCTGCCTTTGCGTAGGTCTGGAGATGCAGGGGAGCAGCAGAGCTGATTTGCAATTACACATTTCATCTTGACGTGCCCCAGGAACGTTTTTATAATCTGTTGCAGGGAAAGCCATGCTTTTCCCTGAAAATACTCCATCCTTCCCCACTCCCTGCCTCCCTGTGTGGGGTCACACCCACCCCACCACCATCCCCAGGTGGGGCTTGTGCTGCCAGGGCTATAAATGTGGGGAGGGTGGGGGCAGGCTACATACTTTTTGCAGGACCTGACTCAGCTGTGGAGGGTGCAGAGGGTTGTCCTGGCTCGGGGAGATGAAGCTGGCTGGTAAGGGGGGGCTGTAGGGACTGTGGTGTTTGGGGATGGGGCAGTGTGGCCGTGCTCAGGAAGCATCTGTGCATCTCGGGTTTTCTGGCATTTGGAGTTTCCAAGAGGAGCTTTGTCTGTCCCGTGGTCTGGTCCTGGGGCCACGGGTGTTTTTTTCTGATGAGTGACGGTGGCTCTGTGGGAGCTAGGAATTCCTGCAGGACTGACAGCATTGCCTGCAAACCTCTGCCTCGTCCTGTGCTTAAGGATGTCTGGAACCATCCTGTTTCTTGCCGCAGGGTGCGCTGTGTTGGCCTCCCTTCCTGGCCGGCGCAGAGGAGAGCCCCTAGGAGGGATGTGTGTGTCCCCTCGCAGTGTCCTGCCTTTCCACGAAGCCCCCCGGCACCACACGTGGCCTTTGAGCAGCACTTGGGGCTGCCAACTCCTCTGGCTTCTGCTCTGGTTTCCATCTTGATGTGATCTCAATACACAGAATAAACTCATGCCATATTCCCCAACCGACGAGAAAATGCCCACGCCGAGAGAGAGGCCGCTATAATTGCAACCAGGTTGCCCTGTGGTGGCTTCCAAGTCATGTAGAGCTGGATCCCACATGTGGGCACAAATAACCACCATCAGGTGCAGGCAGCTCCGTCAGTGTAAGGAAGAAAACAAGAAAACAGAGAATGCAGTGCTGGCGTTTAACACAGGAGTGAGCTGGGCTGCCTTGGTGCATCTGTGCCCTGGTGCTGGGTGAGGTGGTTCACTGGTTTAACTGGAGCAGGGGTGGGATGAGCACAGCCCCTCTGGAAGCCTCTGAGCAGGCAGGAAGATGCTTTTGTGAAAATCAGAGTTGTTTCCTGAAATAATGAACTACATTATTGATTTGTGAGCCACCTGTTGGGATTAATCCGTGTCCAAACTGGGACAGGGAGCGCTGCTGGCACGTCCCTGCTGCGAGGGTGTCTCTGGGGGTCCTGCTGCAGGTGAAGGCTGGGTTCCTCAGCCCTGGTCCCCACCCTGCTATTGCCCCAGGTCCCCCCTGCTGCCTCCAAACCCCATGGCCCTCGAGATCAAATGCAAAAAATGTGCATGTGGGAAGAAACCAGCTCTGCTAAGTTTATTTGTGTTCCTTGGTGCAAAAAAAAAAAAAAAAAAAGTATTCTTTGAACCATTTTGGAAATGCAAAGTGCTTCACTGTTCAGATTTTTAAAACTTGGGGGGGCCGGTCTCAGCCCCCTCCTGTGCAGGTTTTCCTCGCTTGCAGGGGAATCTTAAAACTTTCTGCTCCCCCCAGTCTTCTGTGTGCTCGGGGTCATCTCCATCCCGCCGATGCTGCTGGTGGGGCTCGCAGAGGGGCTGCTACCCGGGGTATTTGTGACAAACGTGACCAGGAGGAAGGTCTCCTTTGCTCGC